ACCGAACCTGTGACTGCAATTCCGGTGTCCAACTCCTCTTCTTCCAACTCCATCGCTCCACCCGTGTCTCATCCGGCCGCCGGCCTCACAAATATCAAGAACTACGTCAATCCTGTTCTTGACTTCACCAATTACATGCTCTGGAAGGAGCTCTTCCTTCCTATTTTTTGCAATCACGGAGTAATGGGCCATATCGACGGCACCTCTGCTTGTCCATCGCCGACTCTTCCTGCCACGGACGGATCTTCTTCCTCCACTCCTAATCTTACTTTTCAGTCTTGGACTCAGCTTGATTCCATCGTCCTCTCTTGGATTCAGGCAACGGTTTCAACCGAAATCTTGCAAGCAATCATCAAACCCAATTCCAATCTCACTGCTCGCGATGCCTGGTTTACAATTGAGAAATTGTTTCAGATCAGCTTGGCTCGTGCCTTCTTCAATTAAAACTTCAGTTTCACAGTCTCAAGAAAGCTGATTTATCTATCAACGACTATGTCACTAAACTCAAAACATATGCCGATTCCTTGACCGCGGTCGGTTGCCCAATCTCAGAAACTGATTTAGTTCTTCAGATTCTTTCTGGTCTTCCCTCTGACTACCAATCTGTCTTAACCACCATAAGCCACAAAGTGCCGCTGCCCACCTTTGTTGAAACACGATCTATGCTGTTTCTTCATGAAGTCCAGCTTCAAAACACTGCTCCCCCGGCCTCTCTTTCTGCAGCTACTCCAGCCTTGGTTGCTTCCTCTTCCAACGACCCCCCTCCGCAGCCTGCTTCCACCATTTCCCAGCCCTTCTCCAACAATCGCGGGTGTGGTCAGGGCCGTTTCCAGAATTCCCGCGGTGGAGGTCGCGGTCGTGGCCGAAATCACCAAAACGGTCAGTATCCAAACATGTTTTATTCTTCTTCTTATTATCAAGCTCCCATGTTTTCTCCTAGGCCTCGTGCTCCTTCCCTTCTTGGTCCGGCGCCCGCTTTTTAGTCCGGTCTTCGCTGTCAGTTATGTAATCAACCCAATAACTCTGCTCGCAACTGCTTCCAACTTCAACAGCCCGCTTACTATGTGGATCACTATAATCGGCCACCTCCTCCTTCGTCTGTTGACTCCTCTTGGTATATGGATACTGCCTATGGTAATACTATGACTCCGACTTCAGGTATTCTGTCTCACTTAAAACCTTTCACTGGTTCAACTAAAGTTGTGATAGGAAATGACAATGCGTTACCTATTAAATCTGTTGGTCAAATTCTTTGTTCCTCATTTAAATTTCCTCATGTCTATCATGTTCCCTCTATTACTAAAAATCTTATCTCTGTTCGACAATTTGCTACTGATAATCAATGTTCCATTGAGTTTGATCCGTTTGGTTTCTCTGTGAAGGATCTGTGGACGAGGACCCCTCGTCTACGCTGCAATAGTACCGGGTCTCTATACTCCTTCCCGTCAGTCCTGCTGCGTCAGTCTCTTGCACCATCCTCTTTATCATGTCCGGCATTTGCTTCCTCTGTTTCTTCTCAAGTATGGCATCAACGTCTTGGTCATCCACACTCTTCGGTCCTCTCCAGTTTAGTTTCTAGTCAGCGTCTTTCTGGTTCTGTGGCCTTTTCAAATAAGCTTCACTTATGTCAAGCATGTCAACTAGGAAAGCATCATAAGCTTCCTTTTAGGCCTTCTTCTTCTGTAACTTTAAATGCTTTTGATATTAGTCATACCGATGTTTGGACCTCACCTTGTCTTCCTTTAGTGGTTTCAAATACTTTGTGTTATTTCTTGATGATTTCACTCATTTCTTGTGGGTTTATCCTCTTAAAAATAAATCTGAAGTACCTCAAAAATTTGTTGAGTTCTATACCCTTATTCAAACTCAATTCAATGTTTCTATAAAAGTCCTTCAATCAGACGGTGCTTCTGAGTATGTTCGTTCTCAATTTCTCCAAAATTTTCTTAAGTCCAAAGGGGTTTCCATGCATATACTTGTCCATATATCCCTCAACAAAATGGCAAAGCTGAATGTATGAACCAAACCATCATTAACATGGTTCGCACCCTTTTTCATCAAGTTCACTTACCAACTCAATTTTGGGTCGAAGCTTTAACTACTAGCGTCTACCTATTAAATAGGTTGCCCACTAAATCTAAACATGTGCTGTTCCCTTTGCTCTTTTGTTTGGTCACTCTCCCAATTATGGCGACCTTAGGGTTTTTGGTTGTTCCTATTTTCCCAATCTCTCTCACTTAGCCTCTCATAAATTCAGTCCTAGATCTGTTCTATGTGTCTTTCTCGGTTACCCTGAATCCTACAAGGGTTATCGATGCTTTGATCCGGTCTCTCAGAAAGTCTATATATCCTGTCATGTCATCTTCGATGAAACATCGTTTCCTTTCCCTTTATTGTCTTCCCTGGTTCCACATAATCTTCCCACATCCTCACAGTTCAAACCTCCCTCCTTTCTCATTCCAAAAACTCTTCCGCAACAAGTGCCTTCTTGTCCACATTCCTTTCCGACATCTGTTTCTATGTCCCCTCTACCTAGTGACCCACCTCTGTCTGACAAATTAGTTTCAACCTCCTCTGTCCCCCCACCTCATCCTATGGTCACTCGAAATAGGGATGGCACTCGTAAACCTAAACAAATTATCTCTCTTGCTGCCACTACCACCTCTCTTCCCATAGAACCTCATTCTTTTACGGAAGCAAATAAATACCCTGAATGGCGTGCAGCCATGAGTGATGAGTATAATGCTCTTATTTCAAATCACACATGGGATTTAGTCCCGCCTCCTATCTCCGCAAATGTGATTGGTTCTAAATGGATTTTTTGTGTTAAGCTTAAGTCTGATGGCTCTCTTGATCATTGTAAAGCACATTTGGTCGCTCAGAGTTATAATCAAAAACTTGGCATTGACTATGATCAAACGTTCAGTCCTGTGGTTAAACCAGTGACAATCAGGACTGTCTTAAGTATTGCTGCTTCTCGTAAGTGGCCTGTTCATCAATTAGATGTTAAAAATGCCTTTTCGCATGGTCACTAAATGAAATTGTCTACATGAAACAGCCTACCGGTTTTGTTCGTCCAGACCATCCTCACTATATCTGTCGCTTGAACAAGGCTCTTTATGGCTTAAAGCAGGCTCCTCGGGCCTGGTTTCACCGGTTCACTTCATTTTTGCTTGCACAGGGTTTTAAAGCCAGTTGTTCTGACTCTTCTATGTTTGTTTATTCTGCGGGTTCTGATATGGCTGTGTTGTTACTGTATGTGGATGACATCCTTTTAACTGCCTCCAGTGATCGGCTTCTTACCAATCTTGTTCAGTCTCTGAAAGGTGCTTTTGCCATGATTGATCTTGGTCATATCAGTTTCTTTCTGGGTGTCTCTGTCTCTCCGCAGTCTAATGGCTAGTTTTTGGATCAACGCAAGTATGCTGAGGAATTATTGTCTCGCAGTCATCTCATGGATGCTAACCATGTTGCTACTCCCCTGGGTCCAGCTTTTCAGTTCTCTGTGGAAGATTCTCCACCTTTTCACAATCCAACTCTCTATCGAAGTTTGGTGGGTGCTCTACAATACCTCACTTTCACTCGTCCTGATATCCAGTATGCAGTAAATCTTGTCTGCCAGTATATGCATGATCCTCGAGAACAACATTTTTAGGCGGTCAAGTGAATTCTTCGGTATATTAAGGGAACTCTTCATTATGGTATACATCTTCGTGCTAGTCCCCTTGATCGTCTTGTGGCTTATTCCGATACTGATTGGGCAGGGTGTCCTACAACTCGTCGTTCCACCACTGGGTTCTGTGTCTTTTTGGGATCCTTCTTGGTCTCTTGGTCCTCCAAAAAGCAGTCTACTATTTCGCACTCTTCCGCAGAATCTGAGTACCGCGCGGTTGCTTCTACCTTAGCCAAGACTATTTGGTTGGAACATCTTCTTTCTGAGCTTCACATTACCCTTTCCCAGTCTCCTGTTATATTGTGTGATAATATTTCTGCCACTTACCTTGCCGCCAATCCTGTCTCTCATGCCCGAACGAAACACATTGAGTTAGATATTAATTTTGTTCGTGATCACGTTACAGCTGGTCTTCTGTCTGTTCGTCATATTCCTATGCAGTCTTAGCTGGCAGATGTTTTCAACAAGTCCTTAGCTAAAGATAAATTTTCTGTGTTTCGTACCAATCTTGGCATGATATCTTATCTTTCTAAGATTGCGGGGGGATGATAGGATGTGTATTTTAGGTAACCCTAAATAGGGTTTCGGTAGATGGCTAGGGTTTATGTAAATTAGGACTATATATATTGTACAACATATACGTGAACGGACATACAGGAAATCAATCTTTTCAATATACTCTTTCTATTCTAAAATTATTGTCCAGTACAGAGGGAGTAATAAATAACAGAAACAAGGCTGAAGTGCTCTTGTGGTTTAATGTGTGCAAGGTAATATTAGGAAGAATGATTTGATCATTTCTGAAGCATATCCGGAATCGGAATTCAATCCAAGTTGGTGACGCATTAGCATTGAAGACCTTTTGGATACACTGCAAGGCACATCTTATTACAAAAACCTTAAGGGGATGTGGCTCGAATCGAAACAAATCCGTCCTTAATCAGAATGGCATCGTTGCTTAACCAGAAAGAAATTGTTGAAGCACACAAAAATGACGGTTTCAAACTTCTTGAACTAAGCAAGGTGATCCTCACCCAAATATGTTTATTTCTGACTACATTTTTTACCCTTAAGATTGAGTTCTTGTTGCAATGATTTTGTTTTTGTTAACCCCCTCAAGAGTCAGTATTTTGAACTTTTTTATTTTCCATTTTCCGTCACTCCTTTCTGACAGATATCAGTTGATGATGAAGTAAGGGATCAACAAAATCGACTTGCAAAAATCCGCAGTCTTGTTTTACGCCATGGTATGAAATCGAAATCGGTTAGAAAGATAAAGTCTAAAACATACCATCGCATGTTAAAGAAAGAGAAACTGATGAAAGCAATGGGTGCAGCAACGGAGATGGACCCGGATGCTGCTGAAGAATTTGCAACGAAACAGGAGTTCAGGAGAGCAGAGGAACGCTATACTCAGAAACACGAGAACACCTCAAAATGGGCGAAAGACATTATGCACCGCGGTTTACATGTCCAGGACGAAAGGACTCGGAAAATGAATTCTCTCGAGTATAGCAATAGTGATGATGAAGACGAGTCGTCCGATATTGATTCCGGCCCAGATGAGTCAGAGATTGGTCATGATTTGTTGAGGGTCATGTGGCAAGGATTATGAATCCCACATCGGAGGCATGAGGACATGTGAATCAGTTAATAAGTAAGGTGGTCTCAGAACCCATTAGCTTGAGCTTTTGAGTTCAGATGGGTTTTATCTTACTTATTGGGCTCCATGTCGGGTTTTCTCCTCCAGATAAATCCCCAACATGATTCACTGCTGTTTAAGAGTTTTGAGCATACTGTTAAGGATCCAGGCCCCAAAACCACACATGAGGTTTCTGTTTTCGGAACCGGCTCCACGTATGAGCTGCCATCCCAAGAAGAACTGATTCGGAGTGCGTTTGCCGGTGATGATGTTGAGGAAGAATTTGAAAAAGATAAAGAAGAGGTTTTGAATGAGGGAAATCCGGAACTTACGTAGAAACCATCTCTACTTCCAGGGTGGGGTCAGTGGACTCACACATTCATGAAAAAGAAAGGATTTCCTTCTTGGATGCGGAAAAAAGAGACAAGAATAAAGTAAAATGACGAACGAAGGCAGATCTAAAGCATGGTATTGTACCAGAAAAGTTGGGATAAGAGAGGTCTTAGGGTTCCTTGATCTGTATATCCAGATGCAAAATGCTGGTTAGAAGCTTTTACCAAATGGTTACGGACTTGTGGTTAATTGTTAAGAGTCTTTCCTGTTTTTAGTATTAATAGTCATGTCCAACAAATATGAAAAGATAAAGAAATAAATTAAAGATTTCCGAAACATTCTTCAGTAAGGATATTGAATTCTTCCATTCCGGCAATTCTAACATGTTCAAATACAGAAAGTCCAATACGATGTTCATCCACTAAGCACAACAACTTCAAACGTTTTAAAATCAATTATCACAAAATGAGTGTACTTCACAAGTCAAAGGACACATCTATATTAAAATGTAATAATTCATAGTTTACTAAAATTTGAGTTCCATTTTTCAACCTTTTTCCAATGCTGTTTTGGTTTGATTTTGGGAATCATATCTTGTTCAGCCAAGCAGATGAGAAGCTATGTCAGCTAGCGTATCGATACGTCTTCCGGCATTTGTTTCCGACCTGAAAAACAAATGTTTTAATGACCTCTTTATTAATTAAACAAGTATCCGAAAGGGATTAATAATCCAATGGACTTTACTCGAAAAGAATGTTGAAGACATATGAAATCATTGCCTCAAGCAAATTTATTTTCTATATTGTAACTATTGTGCTAATTTTTGTAACTAGTATTTTGTAAAGATCAAGAAAAGAAAATGAAAACAGGATGGTTAACAGAATCCTTACTCAAGCGGAACAACATTAATCGGCGCAGATTAAGAATTTGGAATCTCAGCCTCCTGAACCTATGAACGTTATAGCCAATAAATATCATTAGAAAGACAGACAATTAAAAGGAAAGACGAGAAATTCAATCAGAATGAACATTAGAAATGAATTATATAAATAAAAAAAATACACACACGCACACACAAACTCACTTCTTGAGTATGTTTGTCACCAAGGAATATGCAGTTCTGGCCAACTAGTTTTACATACTCTTCATCTCCATCAAAATATACCACCTAAACCATAAGCCCAAAAACCATTAATTAAGAATTTGTTATACCCGGGAAAGTTTATGAAGCAGCTAGCACAAAGAGTGCGCATCATGTGAATAATAGCATTTTTTAAGCTACTAAGAAAATTGATTTATGCTATCAAAGAAAGATGGCGGAACTACAAATTTTATTTTATTTTATTTTTTTTGAAGAGATCAATAAATACGACAAAGAAAACGAGTATCTTCGTTATCATCACCTTATGCTGCTCTTGAACAGGATCATATGCCAGAACAACTGCTTCATATGACCTGTCCAAAACCAATCAATCAAATAGGTAACATTTCTTATTTCAGAGTAAATCGAATGGCTTAATTCAAGTAGGTGAAATAACTAGAGAACATTGTGTTTCTGCAGAAATAATTTCCAGATGATGAAAATGCATGTAAGGAAAAAAATTAAAATAAACTCAACATCTTCAATCACTGCACTGTTGCGTCTTTTATCGAATCCATAATCACCAACCAAAATCAAATTATGTTTAAATCTTTTATCCTGCTAGACTCAAATTCTTTTTAAAACGTTGAAAAAATATATATAATATCTCCATTCTAAAAAAATAGTTCACGTTGAATTTTCAAATTTGTGGTAAAAATAGTACAAAACTCAAAATTCATTGTGAACTATTTTTTGTGGGACGGAAGGAGTAATAAAACTGTAAAAGTGGTTTGTGATAAAATCTGGGGGTGAAAAACGAAACAAAATTAACAAAAAATGATGACTGAGCAGGGGGGAAAAAATCCAATAATAGCAATTCATTTGACAACAAAATTTGTCAAACAACGGTAACTTACTTAAGGTCTTGGGGCCACCAAACCATCACACGTGAACCTACGATCTCTTCACGGTACTCTTTCCTCCTTCTTGGTCTTTTGCAACACTGAAGTCAAACAAACAAAGAAGAAACAAAAATAAAAATATTCATGGAATCTGATCAGTCATCATTGATTACCCAGATGAACACAAATAGAAGCAAGACTTTTATGGCGTTAGATTTGAAAATGGCAAACCCAAGGCATCATGATACCAGGAAAAAAACAGCTGAAATACTAGATTATATTGGAAGTACAAAGTATCATTGGAAAAGATATATTGAAAGGCTCCAAATCTCCCTCGAGTTCGACTATATTGAATTTTGTTGGATAATAATACTATTTTTTTTTAAAAAATAAATTATTCCATTACCATAAAGAAGAGATTCCATATGTTAAAAATTCCTAAATGCATTTATCTCATCTGTGCTTATTTCGACTTTTAACCGAAAAAATCAACACCTCAAACATAGGTTAAACACAGTATGCATGTTTGGATTGTTTTTCATTATGCGTTTTAAGTATTTTTTTTCCCCTATAGACAGATATAAAAATATGTATTAAAAATGTAAAGAAAAACTGTGTTCAACTTATAAAACATCTATTATTAAAAGAATTTTTAAAAAACCGCAGGAAATTAAAATAAAAAAAATAAAAACATAAAAAACAAAACAGAGCGAAATACCTGCCGACTGGATATCTCATAACGTTCATGCACTAACCAGCGATGCTCTTCTAATCTCAATTTCTGTACATCGGCATCAAGATAAGCAACCTGAAACAAAAACCAGTGATGAGGAAGTTATACCTTTCAAAAAAAAATCACAAAATGCAGCTCATAGATTGTTTTCTACAAACAATTAATCATCATCTCTTGTTAATTGATTAAGAAAACTATGTCGAAGAATGCAGGTGAAGGAGGCAAGATAATAAGTTGATGAATATCTGCAATTTGAGAAATAATATAAATGTAGTTATTCTTAGTCTCACCTTATGCTCTTTCTTAACGGGATCATAGTTCTCAACAACTCCCTCATAGAACCTGAAGAAAATCATTCAATCTGTAAGTACATGTGCAAATTACCAAAGTAAAACATTATGCACCTGGAGACTTAATTGGTTTCAAAATGGAGAAGCTAAGAGGTACGTACCGACGGTCATTCAGCCGCCACACCAATACCCTTGCACCAATTAATTCTTCACGATATTCTTTGTCAGGTCTAGGGTTTTTAAATCCCTGAGGTTTAAGGAAAGGCAATTAGTAGGAACGTAGAAACAAGAAAATGCAAGCGAATAGTATGGACTGAAAACGACGAAAACACAAAATATCATATCCGGGAATATTGGTGGAAACATTTAGTCTGAGAATTATATATTATTCTATCTTTCCAAAATTATTTTCCAGTTTCAAATTTCAGTTTTAGTATAATTTAAACTAAAATTCAAAAATTAAACTGGACAATAATTTGGAGACGGGGGAATACATGATATCAATATGTCCATAAAAGAACATTATGTATGAAAACATTAGTTACATAGGATTGGATTGATACCTTCGGAAGAATTTCGTCATTGCTTTCGGAATTAGTGCCTTTGCCCTTTATCATTCCATAATCAGACAAGATGTATTTCCTTTTCTTTGAAGTTACATCTAGCCAAACAGGTTCTTTCGCAACTGCAATCTGTTCATCTCCCATTTGCCCTTCAGAATGGGATCTTCCAGGTTGAATAGGTTCATCATCGCCAATTTCATTCAGCTCAACATTTTTTTCGACAGCTGAACTGATTGAAGTGTTACTGTTTCTCTCAAGATCTACTAATTCACATTCATTTGTTGCTAGTCCTTCTTGACTTCCCACGGCGTCCATTTGGAAAGTTTCTTCGTCGACATTTTGAAGGCTCTCAATCTGTTCAGGACCATTTGATGACTTTGAAGAGCCATTCTTTTCTATCTCAGGATTTATCACCTGATTAAACCAACACTACCAAAGTAAGATGACCATCATTCTTCATTACAAAAAGGAAAAAAAACAAATCAAACAAAGGCAAGATATAGTAACTAAAAAAAAAATGAGGACAAGGCTCGACTTTGGTGGAAAAAGAATAAAAAAAATATGACATTACATTATCCAACTCTGGCATGTCAGGTAAAATGGAAGAGTTTACGTAGGTACAAGCTTCAGCTTCTTTCCTCAGCTGTTTCGATAATTCTTTGAGATAGGGGTCAAGTTTCTCAGAGCAATTCTTCAGTACTTTCACAGCTAATCTCCACGAAAGTGGTGAAATCACCTGAGGGAAATGACAAAGGCCGATCATGATCATCTCAATGCAAAAAACGTAGTGAAAATTAAAAGTGGTTGAGAGAGTGAAGTACCTGGTTTTCCTTATTTGCCATATGTAAAAGAGGCTTCAAAAGATCTAGCGAGAGTTCATCCGCTTCGCGAATCACGCAAGTCATGATCTCCTCCATGTTTGTGAACACGATGTCAGGGAAGTTTTGCCTTAAATCGAATAACAAATAACCATCAGTAAACAATAAGGCTGCATCAAAAAACCTTTCCATAATTTAACTTTTGATGACATAAACTAGCGAAAACTATCCACTACTTTAAGAGCTATTGGAACAATGAAACACAAACATTGTTGACTTAACTGTATGGTTTCAAGGAAGATGTGGAACATTCGACGAATCAAAGCATTACAGCCGAGCTCCAATAAAATCATGCCAGATTTACACTTGGCAACATTACGAAGAATTTTCAAGGCCATCACATATGAGCGACCCGAAAGCGACGACAGCTTTCCAAATACATCTTCTACAGTCTGCTGAAAGATTTCCTGTACGACGCTCAAAATATCATTGAACTAAATGTATCATTAAAAAGCTAGGATATGTACACAATTATGTTGAGTGGCTGACCTTTAAGAAATCATTTTTGTAAGGTGGCTCGGGAGATAAAACCCTAATAAGCTCATGAATGCAACCTAAGACCGAAACTCTAACATCCAAATTGAGATGTTTAAAAAGCTTATCAGAGTTCAGCCCTTTGATAGCAGGCAACAGTGCGTCGCGTATTACCGGAGAAGGATCCTGTCCTACTCCTAGTGAGCTCAAAAGGTCTTCTACACTCTGATAAATGTGAAACAAAAGCGAAACCTTAAGCTACATTATAACAAAACAAAAGAGATTTAAGTTTATGCACCTAGGAATGCGAGTCTAGGCCAATAAAAAATGCCCCATTATACATGTGATAAGTTATGAGACATGTAGTGAAACATCAGTCTACTCTCTAGTAAAAATTCGCTAAATTAATATGTTATGTTTTATTAAACTTTATTAGATTAAATTTTTTTATTGTCCCAAGTGAGGAACAAGACAAAAGAAAATAAAATTGATAAAATATAAGATAATAATTTCCTTTTCGTAAGATTCCCTAAATAAAAATTAGGTCGTATCAAATTCAAAAATTAATAATTATCTAAAAAATATCAATGAAGCAGATCATCAAAATCAGAGATAAGGCCAAAGGAGGTTTTGTTGGTGATAAATGGTTAGGAAACAAAAAAGGCATATATTCCATTGCGTCTGGCTACAGATGGTTGCAGGGGGGAGGGGAGAAGAAAATGGATGCTGCTTCCATGATTTGGTCGAGAATAAACATCCCCAAACACTCATTTATAGCCTGGCTGGTGTGGAAAGGCAGACTCATGACCGAAGACAAGTTGATTCAGCTCAATATTCCTGTGCAGAATGACCAATGTTGCTTATGTGAGTTGCAGCAGGAAACCAGTGAACATCTGTTTTTCGCATGCCAATTCTCTATTGAACTGTTGAACAGAGTTACAGGCTGGTTGAGAATCAAGAAGTTTACTACTTAGCAGCACAAGTGGCAGACAGAATTGAAGAAAATATGGCATAGTACTAAACTGAGGGAGAAAATACTGTATGCTACTGTAATGGCAACCATTTATAGTATGTGGGAGGAAAGAAACAGTCGTGTATTCAGGAACCAAAAGAGGCCAGCAGAGGTGATCTTCCAGGAAATTTAGAAAATGATCCAAGTGAGGGTTCAGCATTGCAAAAGGGGCAAAGTCAGAGCAAAGGAAGTGTTGTTTTGTTAATTTTTACGGTCTATGTAAATAGACCTGTAAATAGTACTTTTTGGTAGGAAAACTTGTACTCCACAGTCTCATTTTGCAGAAGTAAATATAATTTACAGTTTTTCACCAAAAAATATATATATATATATCAATGAAAAAAAGATTTAGTAAATTTTGAGGCTAATGAGGTTTATTGTTTTCTTGAAATTTATAAATGAGAAAAGTCTATCATTTAGTATTCTCTTTGGAGTCAAAAGTTTCAGAGTTACTTTCGCAGGTTGGATAATTTATTTCCTAGTATAATTGGAAAACATACGTTTCATTATTAATTATGAATTTATATCAATAAATTAATAATATAAATTTATTGATAAATTAACAGCATCTATAAGCTAATAAAACTTTGAGTGCTCTATAGCATTTATTTAAAGAGTTCTTACCGTCCATGTGGGAAATTGAAGGGACCAGTTGTTGCTTTCTACTGCTCTATACACTTATAAAGTTTCCAAATAAAATTTGACAAATCATACTTGATTATACGCTGAAAATTAGTATAATAAATGCATTTTTTTTACTTGATCTGCTATGTCAGGTAACATAAAATAATGATCAACAATAAAAGTCAAATCTTTTCTCTTGTTCGCCAATCAACATCCTTATTTATTTATTTATTTTTCATTGAATAAATATCTTCATTTCTCAAAAAGAAAAATAAAAAATAAAAAATAAAACATAAAATAAACATGCTTTTTTATACTTGAACAACAAAATCAATTTCACTAATCTATCGTTTCTTTTTAAATTTCTTTCAATGTTTTCAATAGTGAACAAATAATACTATTTGTAATCTACAACATTAAATTTTCTTTGATCACTTATAATTTTCAGTCAACATGATCTACTAAATATGTGTTTTATCATTTATATTATGTGACATCCATATTTAATGTAAAGAATAAAATAAATCCCTTGTTTAAATTGAAGGATGATTCTTACTCAAAATCATCACTAAAATCATCAAAAATGTCCTCATAAACTGTATTTTTTCTTAATTATTTAATTCATACACAGCACCTTTCCCAACGAAAAAGTAGTGAATGGAAAACTATAAAATCCACATCGAAAAGTTAAAAAAGAAAATCAATAATAGCTTCATCTAGATATTTCTGGCTTAGAAAAAGCATGCTAAATAATAACTGCCAACTGCAGAATCTAAGTATGCTCCCAGACAAAACATGGTTAAAATTGAAAGAAGAATTATAGTTTTTAAGAAATATAGATCTTTGATAACTATAAACCATAAGAAAAAGAAACATGATTAAATCCCATCCCTTTTATTATTACTTATCAAGAAACCTGAGACAAACGATTTCCTCAGGGTTTTGGTGATAAATCAATTATGTAATTCAAACACAGTTGGTCTATGAATTGCTGTAGAATTGCATTTCAAGAGATAGTAGACTAAGAAACAGGATTTAAGAACCTTCCACATCCTTCCAACTAAGAATTTATTGGGCAATTTGGATGAAAACTAAAACAGCAGCGATATTGTTAAGACACTCCAGGAGCAGGATATGCCATTCTTTACCCTATTACCCTTGCTAGATCAAAAGACAAATTGTAACATTATTTTTTCCTTCCCCTTTCCGCTTCCACCACTCTCCCAATTCTTCCTCCCAAGTCACTGTAAACAATTTATCGGCTCTCTTCCTCACCATCATCACCAAGCAACATCACCATCTTCCCCTTTCTTATCAATTTCCAGCTTTTGCCTTTTTATACTTATCAATGAAAATCTAAAAACCGGAAATTCTATGTTCGTTTGAGAGATTTGAAATTGTTTTTGTTTAAATTCATCCAAATAACTAAATAAATTGGCAGTGTCTTCTTGTAGAAAAGATTAAATTGAACCTAGAAGATTGATGGACCTATTGAAATCAAAAGAAAAGAGAGGTTTGTTCAAGTATAGGAATTTGGGAAAATCACTTTCATTGGTCTTATATATGTGAAACAATTGTTAGGGCTCATAGGTTGGTCGATGGATTTCCGAGTGTTTTAATCAACGGTTGTTATGTTGACTGTCTTCTAGATATTCCCGATTACATATATATCTGTGAAAAATTGTTGTAGTTGTAAGATTCAATGTTTGTTTGATAAGATCACGAAAAGGTCTGAAATATTGTTTGCGCGCAATTATGACGAAGATTTATGCCCGTAGATGATAATGATATTTAAATAGAGAAGAAGATGAGTTTTTCGGGAAATGAAGGTGATGAAGATATGTTAGTTTTTGTTGAGAATCAACAGTTTTTGACTCAATGAGGTAATTGCAGAAAGAATGATATTTTCTAGAAAATCCATTATTGCTGTTGCAATATCACTAGCCAAACTAGAAAAGAAAATCAAGTCTAGTAATGAACAATGTATTGATATATGCTTTGTTGCAACAGAACAATTAATGCATTCAGATATTTTTATTAATCCTTCAAATGAACAATATAATTCAAGAAATGCATTTATACAGAAAACTCACGAGTCACGGATTAGGATCAGCACCAAACACAGACGGGAAATACAATTGTTTTATGCCTTTATGCTCGACATTCAACTTTATTTTCAAAACTTAACAGTGCCAAATGGACATACACACAAATCAACAATTCTTCCAATCTCAAGAATCAAAAACACCAAAATTAACGATCCAATAAACATTTCCAAACAACAGAGAATAAATGTTTTAAAAACCAACAAATTAGAATCAAATTCGTTGTCCTGCGTCTAAATTTTCAAGATGCTTGCAAGCGTATAATCAAGAGACAAGACACATAAAATCTGAGATAGTGAAATTTTAGAAATTTACATCAAGGGCCGAGAGGATTCCATCAGTGGAAGGCGGGGGAACAAGTAGCTTCACTCCATTACCAATGAGCCTTGAGCACAGATTTGATTCCTTTGCCATTCTCTTAAATCAAATCTGTTAAAATCAAATGTTGTTTGTTACAATCGAATGTGTCAAACAGCAAACCTTTGAGAAAAGGTTATCTTTTTTTTAAAATCAAAATGTGTATGAAACTTGGATACTGGACTAAATATGTTGGAAGGGAAGTTTCAAAACAGAAAAATAGCAACACCATTATACATATTTGTTGCGCGTATCTGTTAGGATTTATAAAAAGGTTAAAAAGTAATTTTCTGTTAATTAATTATTATTAATGTCCCAAATTATGATTTAGATTACTAGAATCTAATGAGATTACGATAATTCTATATTTTAAGCCAATGTTTTTTTGGTTATATCAAGTCACATGATTTTTTCATATTGCAGTGGAGATTACATGTGACACAAAGTGACATATAACATGAGAGCCAAAAGATAGTCGTCGATGACCTTCGCGAGACAAAACAGTAATTAAATGGCTTACGTTTCACAAATTTAAAGATAAAATTATTACATTCTCGGTTTAACAATAATGAAAAATAAGTGTCTAAAACTAACACTGAAATTTCAGTCAAAGTCCCAAATATTGGACTTTTTAAATTGATCATCCGTTTTCTTAAAAAAAAAAATTAACAAATAAGGAGGTAATAATAATGTTAAAGCAACAAACAAAACAAACTCTTACTCCTAATAGTACAAATAAAGCAAGGTAATGTGCTTCAAAACCTCTTGAATCGACCGAAAAGTTTTCCGACATTACGTGTACGTTCTATTTGAACGTTACAACTTGCAAAAATCTTACATTAATTATTTGATTTATCCATCGGGAAGCATTCGACTTTAATTAAGTTGTTGGAACTTCTCTTCCTAGCCGCCCTTGTCTTACCAGTTTCCCCCAAGATTAATGAAATATTTCTTTTGTTTTATAATCTAACAAATTGAATAATTAAAATTTGTTTCAAAATCAACGTCGATGAACAAATTAGAAATCAAGAAGTCTAAGAATTAAACATTAAGTTTGACAGTGTATGATGTATATTAAAGGAACCAATGAACGGAGTTTGATGGACCCTCAAAGTTCAAAAAAAGAGATTAGATTTTGTCATGTGATTTTTGCATGTCATGTTGTCCAAATCCTAATTATAAGATGATTTCTCATTTTCATGTTAAAAGAATATCGAATAAATGGTTCAAATCAAGATTTCCAAACTACATACAGATCATAGACTTGATTATTAAACATTTGACAACATTATTCTTAGTTAATACAGATCACAAACTTGATTATTTATTTAGAAGAAAATGAAATTGAGTCAATTAAAAGAAGAACTCACACTGTGATGAATAATAATTAGATTATCATTAGATGGCGATCCCGATAGGAGAGAGTCACGAACCAGAATCACCAGAAGTCGATGTGTTTGACGGATTTGCCATTTTTTTTTCTTCTAGGATAGGCTGCTATCTTCGATCAAAATATATAACACAAAATGAGCTAAAACGAAAACTAGTAGTTCTTATATTAAATTATGAAATTGTTAAGTTTGTCAAACTCAGAAAAATATCATACACTTCCAAATACTAAAGTAAATTATAATGATTACAAATAAGTTAATGGAGGTGGACAAATTCAGTTATAAATAGAGATTTATTGAATTTATTTCTGTGAAAATATCAATTATTTTCATATATATATATATATATATATATATATATATATATATATATACACACTGTATATATAGTGTACTATCAAGGGAAAGCACTCGTAGAGTAACTGTCAAATATCTTGGCATGGGTTCATGAATATAATTTTTTTTTTTGACAAAAAAAAAGAAAGAATGACAAAGCTTGGTTTTACACTACCGGCTTGGTAGTGGAATTCCGGCTTGGGTTTCCGGCTTGGGTTTCCTGCAAGAGAAGGCCTCGGGAGTCTCCCGATGGTAGACACTCCGATGCTTAAGTCAGAAGAGGGCTTAAAGAACGTATGTGAGTAGTAGTTTGTGCCAGAGATAGCGTACCCGTATTGTGGTATGACCAACCCTATTTATAAGGCATAAAGTTACCTTGAAGGATGCTGAATCCTACTACGTTTCATGTTCTAGAACCGCCTTGAAACCCAAGCGACGACACCTTCACCAATACTGCTCCCTTGAAACTCGCCCAAACCGTCTAATCGTGGGCAGCAACAGCAGTACATAAAACCTTTGGGACTCATTATTCTCCCTATTTCATTTTACGAAGAGAGCAACTCTCATCTACTCTCAAAACCTATTCTGTGAAAATCTGAGCTCCCCATATTCGCTATTGTGCCTCAGGTATCGCAGCCGGTAATATCTGTCTCCGTTGGGGCGAGAAGAAGCCGCGGTCATAGGAGGTTTCTCAACTATGTTATCAGCAAACCATCCAGCTGCTCCCCCAGCCGACGCGTAGGAATCGCCGCCGCCTATGATTGTTGCAAATCTGGGAAGCTACAACTTAAAAGGGGAGTGGAAACCTTTGCTGAAAGTGGCAAAAGCAAGTTTTCAGATCTACGACTCTCGATTCCGTTTACTTCCTTTTATTAACCTGCAGTTGAATATAGGTTGGTACAAATCTAGGGTGAACCATGACTAGGAACACAGATCTGAAAACTGTAGATGATTTTGCCTCAACCACAAATTCTGACGAGAAGGTCGGATCGGTGAGAACGAAATATAACCTGCCCCAGGAATTAGTAATGAGAGCTCCCCTAGGAACTGAGAAAGCCAATACTCCTCCTGAAGGAAAAATCACCATTTATGAACGCTTCATGTTTCTAGGTTGAGATTTTCCCTTTTTACTTTGTTCGAGGAGATTGTGCAATATTATAAAATTTCACTAGCTCGATTCACCCCAAACCTCATAACGTACGTCCTCGGTTTTGTAAAGAGATGCCAATGAGCCAAGGTGAAACCCTGTCTTATGTTGTGGAGGTACTTTTTTAGAGTGTCGACACCGTCTACAGCTTTTCAGGATTGGTGTATGGTGAAGAGAAACCTTGCGTCAAGCTCTCGAAAGATAGTAGAAGCCTATAGTGGGTCTCCCATACGGAAATCCAATTTCCTGTATGTAAAGGCCCCTGAAAAATACTGCATGGCTTGGAATTATCGAGAAGCCAAGGGTTTCGAGGCGGTAAAAGACAAGTGGACGAAGGAGGATGAGGACAAGATCAAAGAATTTGCCAATGACTTAGAGAAACTCGAGAGATATCCCAAGATACTCGAGTATGGAGCTTTGCAACATTTCGTTCCTGTCATGCCAGTCAAGGAATTAGAAGCTGACAAAACCCTCGATGTCCCCCTCGAGAAAAATAAAGGCACTAATCTCATTATTATTTTTGTGTGTTTAGGTCATGTCATCGGGAAAAGCCGGTTCATACCTTCGACAATCCTCCTACCATTGAGTGCCCTATGCTGGAAGAGTTTGCTGCCAACCTTACCGAGGTAGATGGATTAAAATTGGTAAACATCTCAATCGATACGCATTCATTTCTCTCCATATTGTACCATCAAGTGTATAATTGTTCTGTGTTTGGTTTCCACAGATGAGCACAGTCATGATGAACTATGCCAAAAGGTCCAGGGACCTAAGGCGAGAACTAGCAGAAGCTCAAGCCAAGAGAGACCAAGCGGTGATCGAGAAATAGGCTCTCAAGGAGAGGAATCAGTAGCTGCAAGCCAAGGAAGTAGAGCTTGCCTTGGTCCAAACCCAGCTTGGAGAATTGAAGTAGAAATTTCAAGAGTACTGCAAAATGCAGATCTCCAAGGAGGACCTTAATAAATGGTGCACTGTATTTTGGTGGAGGATGCTATCATCAAGGGGGATGACCGTTGCTGTGGAGGAGATTAATACTGCCTCGATGGATTATGGGGGCCATGCAGTTGCCGTCAAGGGCTTAAAAAGACTGAAGTCAAAAAAGCCTATCAAGGCTAAGTGGTTGAAGCAATTTTTGAAGGAAAACTCAAAGAAGACCATGTGTGAAGCCTTGGTCTAGGGTCTTTGCAAACTATCCACAGATCAGCTACCCATGTGGGAGACCTTGTGTGAAGCTCTGTCCAAGATGGCTTCACCCGAGAACATTGTCTCATTTCCCGGGGATGTGCCTCCTATTTTTACTAGAGGTCCTGGTGAGGAATTGGCAATACCTGAGTTCTCCGACGAGTATTTTGGAATTGACCTAGAGGAAGATGAAGATGTCTGCTGAGGAGGATGACACAGGCAATTCGGGTGCCAGGGAACAAGATCCCCCTGTCGTGGGAGATACTAGAGGAGCCGAGGAAAGGAATCCCCCTGTCGAGGGGACATCTGAAAACCAACCGGGGAACGACGCTCGTTCTCAAATGCTGTATGAATTCAGTTTCCTTGTAATAGAGTCCTTCCTCATTTTGAGAAGTTATTGTATCACCGTTCCTGGCGGTGAATGTGAACATTTTAAGCATCTGTTGGTACTTATATAATATCCAATCCTTTTTAACTTTATCCCATATCTTATGCTAGGAATCATACTTTGTGCACCAGGTACATCTGATGATCTTGGACGAAAATCAAGCTAAAACTTTCTTCATGTAAGCTATGGTTTCTACAGCGATGAGAAAGTTGGGCAATGTCCACCATATTTCTGCTGTAAAAACCCTCGAGAAAGATATTTGAAATGCAAGCATACAATGTGCAAATACATTCTCGGCTGGTACAATGGTTCAAGCAAAAAGAAGAAGAATATCAACGCCGCCTTAAGCAATGTGACATCGTCTATTAGGATTCCCTGATCCTGGAGGCAAATGTAAATGAAGAAAAGGCAAATTTAAGGAAGGAGAACGCCCAACTGAAGCGTCGTGAAGGAATCGTGGTATCCCCATGGTTTCTCGAGAAGTTCAACATCCTTTCACTTGTTGAGAAACAAATTTAAATCAGGACGGAATGCTTCATTGCCGCCATCGAGATACTGAAGAAAAGGACTAAAGAGATTGAATTATATTCGAGACAATCTGCCATCCTACAGAACATACTAGTCGATCGTGAGATCCCGCTTCCTATTCTGGAGGATCTAGATGAGAACGAGGAAGCTCAAGAGAGGACGGCTGCCGAAGAATTCCTTCTTAGGCTCAAAGAGCAAGATTGGGAAATCATTAACTTGAAAGATGAGTTGAACCAGTGTATCAACCAGCTTAGGGTGCTAGGATTCTCGGGCGTGATCAAGCCGTCTCGATTTAACCCCAAGGGGGAAGATCTTAGTATTTAAGGATAAACAGATGTATTTATCCCACCCCACACAAGGTGTGAGGGCAATGTATTTGATTCGAGCCTTATCGGCGTCGTTTTTCAATTCGTAGTCGAGTAGTATTTATATAGCGCTTTTTGGCATAATGTAAAGTACACGGCACCCTTGAGGGAACTGGGTATGAGTTCCTCAACTTATTACCGCGATCTACGAGGATGGCCCTAGAAAGGTAGTCCATCTCGAGGACTAGTCATGTAATGTCGACAATGTGAAAGAATATGCAATGACTTTTATTGAATACTTACCCAAGGACTAGGGTTACCATTATATATGAAAAAGAGAAAGCAGTAAAGCAAATAAAGCAAATAAGGCAAGTAACATAAACTAGCACGTAGAAAATAGGGGCTTAAACATAGAACATACGGAGGTTCTGAATGTTCCACCATCGTGGGAGAATGATTCCACTATCATCCGTGGTTTGTAGATGATAGCTGCCTGCTGGAGAGATTTGAATGACTTTGTAAGGTCCTTCCCAGTTTGCAGTGAGTTTCCCTGGAGTGTCGCCTCTACTGGCTTCGTTTTTTCTAAGTACGAGATCCCCCACCGTGAGATATGTTGCCTTGACTCGCTTATTATAGTGTTTTTTGAGGATCTCCTTGTACTTTGCTTCCCTTATTCTGACGGCATCTCGTCGTTCCTTGAGCTGGTCGAGGTTTAGCCTGATATCATCGTCATTAGTAATCTCGACAAAGTTGATTGTACGAGGACTTGGAAGGCCTATTTCGACTGGGAGAACCGCATCCATGCCATAGACCAAGCAATAAGGGGTTTCATTTGTCCAGGAGTGGGTTATGGTGCGATATGACCACAAGACATGGGAGAGTTCCTCAGCCCAAACTCCTTTAGCATCGCGTAGCCTATTCTATTAATAGACTCTGATTGGCCATTAGCTTAAGGGTGAGCTACACTCGAAAGCCAACGCTTAATTTGCATTTACTGGCACCAAGACTTGAAAGGGTAACTTTCGAATTGAGTGCCATTGTTGGAGACAATAACCCTAAGAACTCCAAAGCGGCAGACGACATTTTGCAAGAAGAAATTCAGCACTTATCTTCCAGATATTGAGGCCAACGGTTTAGCTTTTACCCACTTTGTGAAGTAATCCACCGCTACTATTACCCATCACTCTCCTCCTGCCCCTTTTGGATGAAAAGGGCTGATGATATCAGTGCCCATTTGGTAAAATGGCCAAGGACTTTGAATGGTGACCATCTCGTGCTGCGGCTGTCGAGTATTAGGGCTAGAGCGTTGACATCTATCGCACTTTTGCACGAATTGATAAGCATCTTTGAAAATCGTGGGCCAAAAGTACCCGGAACGTAGTACTTTCTTAGCGAGTGCCCTGGCTCCCATGTGTGCTCCCCATGATCACTCATGAATCTCCTCAAAGATGTATGCTGCTTGTCTTGGTCTGACACATCGTAGCATGGGTAACAGGTATCCATGCTTGTACAACATTCCATCTCTCAACGTGTACTTGGGCGCTTTCAATTAGTGTGCTCGAGCGTCGGACTTATTATTGGGTAACATCCCATCTGCTAGATACTGAATGAACGGGGTCATCCAAGTGTCACCTTCCTTGGTGATTGTCATTGTCGACATTTTCTTAATGCTAGGCTTGGGGAGGATCTCGACCCAGACCTTGTGACTGAGGTGCACAAAATTCTAGGAGGCCAACTTGCTCAACACATCTGCCCTTGTGTTTTTTGTCCTTATGATGTGGGAGATTTTGCAATCTTCAAACTTATCTTTTAACTCGAGAAATTTCTCTAGATATTTCTTGAGTTGCCCATCATTTGTTGTATAATCACCTACGATTTGATTTACTACCACCTGAGAGTCGATAAAGACTTGGATTTTTCGGACCTCAAGTTTTAGAGCCATGTTTAGACATGCTACCAATGCTTTGTACTCAGCCACATTGTTCGTAATCGGAAAGCCGAATCTTAATGCATAGGTGTACTCCGCATCATATTCTTTCATGTTTTTGATTTCAGGATCAACCGATGGCTTTGCCAATATGATACTGGCTCCTCTCTCGTTGTCGCAACGAGGGCCGTCGACGTATAGTGTCCAGGCTCGAGGATTTATCTCGACGCGAGCAGCGGAGTGATTCTTAGGCTTTTCGACTTGAGGAACATTATCAGAACGTGGTATCTCGACTAGGAAGTCTGCAAACACTTGGCCTTTGACTGCCGTTCGTGGCTTATATTCTATATTGTGCTCTCCCAACTCTACTGCGCACTTCATCATCCGACCAGAGGCTTCAGGCTTGAGAAGGACTTGCTGAATAGGCTGCTATGTCAATACTCGTATTGGATGTGCTTGGAAGTACGGGCGTAGGCGTCGAGCAGCTAGAATCAAACTTAAAATATGTTTTTCCATGGGCGTGTATCATGACTCTGCTTCTCGTAACACTTTGCTAACAAAGTAAATAGGAGTCTTCCTTGCCATCCTTGTTTTGGACTAGGGCGGCTGATATGGCCTTCTCTCGAACAGCGAGGTATACATACAAGGTCTCCCCCGGTTCAGGCTTAGTCAATATAGGCAGCTCTTTAAGATGGTCCTTTAGCTCTTGGAAAGCTTTTTGACAGTCCTCATTCCACTCAAACTTTCTGCCTTTGCAGAGTGTATGAAAGAATTGGAGGCTTCTTTCTGCGGCTCGAGAGAGGAATCTGTTTAAGGCCACCAGGGATCATGTAACTTTCTGAACTTCCTTGACGTTCTTCTGGGCTTCTATGGCTAGGATCGCCTCGATTTTTACCGGATCAACACTAATTCCATCCTTGGATACGTGGTACCCTAGGAACTTACCCGACCCTACGCAGAAGGCACATTTTTTTCGGGTTAAGTTTTATATTAATCTTGCGGAGAATCAAGAAGATCTCGCGCATATCCTTGACTACTTGCTCATCTCTGTTCTCTTGATCACCATGTCGTCCACAGATATCTCAATATTTCGACCAATCTGGTCATGCAACGCTCAATTGACGTGGCGTTGATAGGTTGCCCCAGCGTTGTTCAAGCCAAAAGGCATCTTGTCATAACAATACACTCCGATCTCGGTGATATAGGCTGTCTTCTCTGCATCTTCTCGAGCCCTAAGGATCTGGTGGTATCCTTTATAGGAATCAAGGAAACTATTGGTCCTATACCAAGTGATACCCTCGACCATCTGATCTATGACGGGTATGGAATAGCAGTCCTTGGGGCAATGTTTGTTGAGATCCGTGTAATCTTGACACATGCGCCAAGAGTTATCAAACTTTCGTACCAGGACTGGGTTAGCCAACCAAGTAGGCCAAAGAACTTCCCAAAGGATATTAGCACAAACCAGCTTCAACGTTTCCTCATTGATGATGTCGTTGCAGTCTCGAGCAAATATTCTCTTCTTCTGTTGTACGGGTTTAACATTGGGATCAACATTTAACTTGTGTTCAATAATTTCTCGTGGCACTCCTATCATATCTGTAGGTGATCAGACAAATATATCACGGAACTCACATAGCAAGGCGATTACCTCGGCTAGCAATGCCCCTTAAGGTGTTATACCTATCTGGATGGTCTTGGAGAGATCCTTCTCGTTAAGAACAAGCTCCTATGTTTTGCTACTAAGTGGTGGTAGGTAGTTAGTGGCGTGATCCTCCTACCATGATTGTACTGCGGCTTGTTGGACCGAATAGCATCCTGATATGGCACTGCTTGGGTTAGACTTTATGGCTTTCTTCCCAATCTTGATAGCTGTGAGCAAACATTCTCGAGAACTGCGCTGGCAACCTTGCACTACTCCAACTCCGTATTCTGTAGGAAATTTCATCACTAGGTGATAAGGAGACCAAATTGCTTGGGCTTGACACATCCAGGGTCGTCTCAGGATCACATTGAATGGCGAGGGTGCATCTATTAAGGCAAAATCCATAGTTAATGTAACCATTCTGGGATGCGACCCTACCGTGAGGGGGAGACTTATAATTCTGGTTGGAATAATAGTGTGGCCCGAGAAGCCTATCAATGACATCATTGCTGGGTGGATGTTAGGGTTTTGAATGTTCATCTTTTTGAAGCAATCGTTGTAAATGATGTCAAATGCGCTGCCGTTGTATACATAAACCCGACTGACTTGCACACCGATTATTGCCTCAATAACCATGGCATCACTATGTGGACAGATATCCGGGACTATGTCGCTGTCAGTAAAGACTCTGGCCTCTGTCCCTTTGAACCTCTTGTGACTAGGTTCCTGACGAGGAGTTTTTGTGGCGGTCCGTACTGAGTTTTTCATGGCTATGGTAGATAAAACTTCAACAGGATCTCCATAAATGGCACCCACCTGGTGAGTGATCTGCTTGGTAGGATCCACCGGAGGGATATGCTGAAGCAGTTGTGGGGCTCCCTCGATAGTTTGTTGAGGAGGTTGTTGCGTATTGCTCCTTAGTTGTCAATTATTCCCACGGCTTTCTCCTCGAGGACCCCTGAAATTCCGTTTAGGAAAATTTTGGGATGTACCAGGCTTGCTACTTCTTTGTCGAGAGGGTCCTTGCACATATTGTTGGAATTTACCAGACTTAACTCCATTCTCGATTTCCCTCTTGAGTTCTCGACAATCCTCAGTATCATGGCCGTGGTCTTTGTGATATTCACAATATTGTTCCGTCGGCCTGTTTGGATTGGGCGCTAAAGTTTTTGGGGTTGGTAACTCGTCCTTTGTGGATCTGGAGGATTTCTCGCCTAGCTTAGTTAAAGGCGTCAACTGCCTATCGAGTTTAGGCAACGGTGTCCTACTTTTCGTGTTAACCCTTGGTTTGTTTCTTGGCCCTATTGCCGTGAAAGATTCTTGTGATCTCTTGAGTGTGTGCTCTCGTTGAATATGGTTCTCGACGATAGCCCACATCTCTTGGGAGTTCCTAGGAGGTTTAGTCGAGATTTTTACTCTTAGCATTGAGGATTTTCCAAATGGGTTGAGCCCTTGGATAAAACCATTCTGGACATCCCATTCATCTATGTTGTCAGCTTGTAAGGCTTCGTGGATGAAACGCCGATGAAAATCTGAGAGACTTTCATGTTGACCCTGCTTGATCAAGGAAAGGTCCATGGACATTCTAGAGATTTGCTTGCTGTAAAAGAACCGAGTTGCCAATTTGACGGATAAACTGATTATACTTCCTTCTGGTAATTTAGTTGTGCTTGCCCGGTTAGGTAGGAGGGTAGAGTTTAGCCATAAAATTCAATGATGCATTCCTGATCCTCATGACCTAGACATACCCCTGCAGCCACTGGGAGACGTCCATATCTCCTGAGTATTTGGTGAAGTCATTGGGGAAGTCAAAGTGCTGGGGCTTTAGCTCATCTCAAATATCTGGTATAAAGGGGCTCCGATCTATGACCATTCCAATGATTATCCTCATCTCGTCTCAGATCGAGACATTCTAGCCCTTTACTCCTTGCTGACCTCGAGGAAGATAAGGTGGAATCCCCTCGTGATTGTTATGTTGTTGCCGCCTGGGAGGTGAATATTGAAGATGACGGTGATGCCCCCCGCCCATGATTTTCTCCAGTATCGCGTCGTCTCGATACTGTCTGTGGAAAGGTATGTATTCCTCCCTTCGAGGAGGTTTTTTATGCCAGTTTGGTCCTAATCGTTCATGAACATTGGTCCTCCTCGAAGCATTCCAGTTTCCTTCTTCCACAACTTTGACACCTGGGGATCCTCGTTGGTAGCAATCCCGAGGGTTCTTGCGCCTGTATACCGCATCAAATTCTTTGATGGCCATATCAAAGGCCGAATATTTCTTTCTAAAAGCATCCCAATAAATGGTATCCCGGGTGGCGGTTGAATGATTATCCAAGAAGCCTTCGCGATCTGAATACCCTTGATAGTTCCCCTCTTCCTAGGCCTTTCGCTTGCCTTGTTTCTTCTCGAGAAGGGCTAAAGTGCGTCGGGCATCCTTCTCATCAATCAAGTCAGCTAACTCCTGTTCAGTTGGGTCTGGCTTTCCCAGGAGACACCGACACCTTGTTTTCTCAAGTACATATCTTTTCATTCTTTGGTTTTGATCGTTGTCATCCCGTATCTTCTTAAGTTCAGCCTCGATTTTAGCTAACTTTTGATCTTCCAAGTGCTTCCTGGATGCTATAGTATTTCGAGGAGGAGGCAAATCCTCCTTCTCCGTCGCGGGATTTGCTTTGTCTGGTTTCTTTGGATTAGGCTGTGAAGTTCCAAGGACCAGACGTTCTTTCTCTAGTTCTTTCTCGGGTCATCTTTCATGGCCCTTTCCCGTCTTCATTCTTTCCTGTCGTCATTGGAATTCTGCCAAGGTAGTGTCATCGGCTGGACTGTGTCGTCTACCGGAAGATGTCGTGCTGCTCATGTGTTCTCTAACCCTGACCATAGTGTGCGTGGTTCCAGAAACCCTAAGTCCCACTAGAGAAGGTTAGGAAAACTGAAAAAATTTTCGTGATACAAACCCTAGTTTTCGGGTCCCACCGGACGTGCCACTTGACGAAACTTGGTTTTACACCGCCGGCTTGGTAGTGGAACTCCGGCTAGGGTTTCCTACAAGAGAAGGCCTCAGGCATCTCTCAAGGGTAGACACTCTGATGCTTAAGTCAGAAGAGGACTTAAAGAACCTATGCGAGTAGTAGTTTGTGCTAGAGATAGCATACCCGTATTGTGGTATGACCAACCCTATTTATATGCATGAAGTTACCTTGAAAGATGTCGAATCCTACTAGGTTTCATGTCCTAAAACCGCCTTTATCAGGTCGGTTGGACCATAGTTGGCTGATGGACCGGTCCAATAATTCTCAGTGGATATGGACTCGTCAAAGAACTTCCATTAACTAACTCATGAAAATCGTCCAGTACTACATGTTTAAGAAAATGAGAGAGATCACTCCATCTCACTCAAATATCTGACAGGTGTAAAATGCAAACAAATTGGAGTTGTACAATCATTTGATTCATCAAAATAGCCGGATTGTCCAAATTGACTTATGAGTTATTCCAATTCTAAATAGTATGTGAATAGATCTATCCATGGTCAGCAGAATTAATGTATATATTGTATATGAGTTTGAAGTTTATGATAAATTGTAAGTTACTCTCTGTTCGAAAATTATAGCCCAGTTTAAATTTTTATTTTTAATTTTTAATACTCCCTTCGTCTCATAATTATTGTCCAGTTTTAGTTTTCATTTCTAATTCAAATTGTACTAAAAGTAAAATCTCAAAGTGGACAATAATTTTGGGACGGAGGGAGTATTTTGTTTTTTCTCATTGTAAGAATAAATATTGTACAATTTCCAGCAAAACTACAAAACTTTATCTTTTGCTTTGTTATCGGTGGTACACTACTCATGACAAGACCTCTTTTCCCTAATCTCCTTGTTGTTCCCCGATCGGATTGTTGAGGGTTAAATATCTGATAAAAAACGAAGATAAGGGAGAAAAGAAAAAAAAAAAAAAAAAAGGCAGTTCGAATTCGCTCTGTACACTGGCTCAAGATTTGGACATTGAATGAAGAGCTTCTTCAGTTCATTTAAATCTCAGCTCAGTGATTGAAGCTTTCAGTACTTCTTGTCTTCTTCGGCGTCAATGAGATATATTGTCTGTTAATTCAGTAAATGACAGATAAAAGTTAGTAGCTGAAAGTTAATTGATGGTCATTAAATTTTTCGCAACCTAATAGCTACCAATATTAATATTAGCTCAACTTTTGGTGTTGCTCGCTCTATATAGTAAGTATATATATTGATATTTCCTTCACCCAAAACTCGCAAGAGTACACTTCAGTTACTTTCCAATAATATATCCCTCATTTTCAAGGTTCAGTAGCTGCGTCTGCTAGAGAGAGTAGAGTTGTTGTTGAAGGTTAATTTAGTTTATTGGGTTTAGCCTATAATATTGTCCATATTTTCGAGTTCAAATAGTTAAGCCCAGAGAATAGAGATCTCACTCGGCCATGCTTCTTTCTACTCCACCGTTACTTCAAGCTTCTTCTGTTCCATGGTATACAACATTTTGCTTATTAATTAATTGAACTACGTTCATATGCTGAAATTGTAAGATTTTTAAGGGTTCTTTTTTTTTTGTTTTTTTTTTTTGGTTTCAAAAATCAACTTTATTCTTACCGGCGGCCACTTTGTTTTTTTTTTTTTTCACTTCAGCGTTGGGTCGTTAATTGGAGGCTATGCTCAAGCTCTCTAGAATTCCTTACTAAAGGTAAGAAACATATCTTTTCTATTAGTTACTACCTTTTTAAGGGAGCAGTGATGTTCCTAAGTTTAATAATTAAGGAATGTTTAAAGATACTGTTTTGCAAACTCCAATCTATTTTTTGTTGAGCTTTTTGCGAGTCATGTGTTACTCTTCATATTTGTTCAGATTGATGACATGTTTAGCCGGTCGAGGAAACTCTGCTCGCATCAAAACAGACTGTTCTGATATCCTCGAGATGCAGAGGTCATCTGGACAAATCGTTGATCGAGATTATTCCACCACTTAGAAATAACAGGCTGTGCAGAATTTTGCAAGAAGTTACATCATGTACTTGTAATTTCCGGAGTTGAAGGATTCAGTAGATATATATATCTTAATTATAACATTTCAAAATTTATCATTATAATCCCCATAGCAAATTATTGAAGGTTTTCAGTTATATGGTCTATCATATGTAATTACTCACCCACACGAACTTTCAAGAATTTTCAAGAAGCATGTATATACATCTTGATAATAGCACAGTCAAAATTTACTATTGTACAACAACGTAATCTTCATCGCCCAATATTGAAGGATTTCAATATCGTATATCATATTATGTTACTTGAATTGAAAATTTTACACTACACCTCAATGCCAATATTTATATCTCAATGACATTACAATATGACCTCTACACGGAAAAACAATATGATAGGAATTTTCTTTGTTAAGGTTATTAAATGTTATAATAAAACACTAACATAAGGCACTGTGTTGACCATATATCTCACATTCGATCTTTTGCTCCCAAAAAAACAATTCACGCGATAATTTACTATTTGTGCACAAAATAGTACTACAAATTATAAAATACAATGTAGACTTTTTCTTTTTTCTTGAGATTTTTCTTTTTTCTTGAGATGGAAGAATCGATTATGGCCTATCAAACATTGTTTAATCATTTTGACAACTGAGTTGCAAAAGTCAAAAAGCTAGAAGTTTGAAACACTAATTTTGATTAAACATACGGAAAACCTTTTGCGCTTATTGTAATCAGTACTTGTCACTAGACTTTGTTCTAGAGTCTCTTCGTGTTTGCCTGATCCAATAGCAGAGAATTAAATACCTGATCCAGTACTTGTCACAACACTGTCTCAAGATTTGAAAATTGAAGTCTTGCGTTCAATTTGATTCTTTTTTTTTTCCTTTTTTTTTTTTAATGAAAGGTAGTACTAGTAGATGCAAAGAGAATTCATGGTCATTAAATATTCACAACTACCTAACCAAAATTACGTAGCTATAACCTTTTGGTGCTGCCCTCTCTTTATATGTTAAGAAATATCCATTCAATCCAAAACTCACCAGAGCCTTACTTTCTTGCCCCAACCGCAATCTTCCATGTTTGCCTTAAAATTTATTTCAAGTGCTTAAATTATTGATAGGAAGGACCCTCATACTAACTTCAGTATATAGATGGATAGCAGTTGAATTATCTGGTAAAATTTAGTAGTAGATTCAGCTTCAACTCAAGGGATGGCGTTGAGGATATTTACTGCTTCAAATTCGAGGGATGTCAGGCCAATTTTTATTCCCAGCTGGTATGCATTTTTCCTAATAGATCCAAGTACGTACATATGCTGAAGTTGTACTGATATTCTTCAGGATAATTGGTTTAGGAACTAACCTCAATTGCCATCATGTTTTCTCTCAATTCAGCTCAGGTTCTAAAATCGGAGGCTCGGTCAAAATGGCGCTTAAGCTCTCTAGAATTCCTTACTATAGGTAAGAAACATTACTTTTATGTACTATCGCTATCTTCTACGTTTGACTAAATTAGGTGTACATTATTGCCAAAAAAGAAAAACTTATATGATTTTGGTCGCAAAGTCCAAAAAAAAAAAAAAATTTCAATCGGAAGAATTAATATAATGGACGAAAATATGCGTTGTTCAATCAGGATTTGGTTTTTGTTATGTTTTCAAGTTTGTATCTCGGAGTATGGGATTTATTTGGGTAGTATAGAGCAAGCTTTAACATGATTCGCCGCAAGGTGTGTACTAACTAACATATCAGTTAAGAATTGTTTGATGTTCTTGAGTCAAAATTTTCTTCTTCTTCTTTTTTGTTTTTTTTTTTTTTGTTTTTTGAAAAGGGAGTCAAAATTAATTCATTGTAGTTTTGTTGATTTGGACGATCCTAATTAATGTGTTGTTTCTTATTTTTTTTGTGTTCAGAATGGGAAGAGTTTTTCACGATAAAGGGATAGCGCCCATGTCCTTGTGCATAGAAGTACCTTGTCCTGGGATATCGGAGCATTTAAAACCCACGACTGGTGGGATTCCTCAGCTCTTCCGCTTGTGTGCGCTTGGACGGAAGCATATGTACTACATATTTGGCACCACCCCCATCAAGACGTCAATTACAAGAATTTGAATTACGTCGCTTCTTTTTAGATTTTAGAGTTCAAGTGATTTAATCCATCTTCATAACCTTCGAATTTACTGGAAAATTTATTTTTTATTATGTGTTATACCCTATCTATTCAGATCCAAAATATTATAATACTGCGGTATCTACTAAAGCGCTCCAAACTTAAGCTAAACTCTCAATGATTACTTGTAATAACATGATGCAGTTTAAATAATGGTCAGAGGATTTTTTTTTTTGGGTGGGGGTGATGCATGCCGTTTTCCAATGTTATTGAATCCGGAAACAAAAGACTGTGAAGGATAACGTGTAGGCTAATCGTAACATATAAAGGGAATTATATCACAACGTGATCAATTAACGTTTTTTAATCATTTTGATAATTGAGATAAATTGATATTTTCAGTGTCATTTTTACCCGAGACGTAGATTAGTATTTTCGTCTCAATGTTTGGGTCACACCATTAAATCTATTCTAAATGATAATTAAGCGTGCTAAATTTCAATCCCAACTTTTCCGAAAGTGATGTATTTTTAGTCCATGGTTCATTCTTACTTTGTTAAAACCGAGGAGGGTATCCATTGTCTGAACTAGAGCCTAACTGTATGTTTATATAATCCAATACTACTAGATCGAGAGTTAAATATACTTGGTCATTAAAATTTTAATAGCAAATATCTGAACAGTACACAGGTTCAAGATTCGGAAATTGAAGTCTGCTCTGAAGCTTTGAGTTAAAGCTTTTGCTCCTGCAACCTCAATGAAGTATTATCAATTTCTGTAAAGGGCAGATATATCAGAAATTTAAATCTTGGTCCTTCAATTTTTTTCGCTTTCGAACAACTACCAACATTTTGGGTGCTGCCATATTTACACAAATTTACATTCATTAAAAAGCTAAAAAATTCACAATACTGTACTCCTTCCGTTCCAAAATAAGTGTCATACTCGAGTTTGTACATAGTTTAAGAAAATATCAACTAAGGTAATTAAATTACTAGAATATCATCAACTAACCCCATTAAAATAAATGCTATTAATAATATTATTTCTTTTGAGGGTACGTTTGAAAATTTTAGACAAAAAATGCATTGGAATCCCAATACGACACTTATTTTGGAATTTCTCCATTTCGCCAAAACGACACTTATTTCTAAATGGAGGGAGTACTCTTCTTTTTTCTCTTTTTTTTTTTTCCAACAAAAACTTACAACGTACTCTTACATAGCATGGATTAATTAAGTTGCTAGGCTGGTTCCCCTCAATTGGGCCCAACGAAAGTTGAAGTCAAAATCCAATTGGGATTTGTTTTGTGTTTTGACCGAGAGAAACAAAAACCCACTTGGTTTTAGGTTTTGTTTTTGATGGCTTATAAAAGCAACGCTGCAGAAGTCTTTGTGCGTCTGTCTTTTTCACCCGAGAAAAGAAGAAAAGTTTGGGCAGCCGTGCATTGTTTTTGTACGAGAGAAAAAGAAAGAAAGCTAGGGTTTAGTTTTCAGTTTAATTCTCTTTTGGTGAGATTCTTCCAGTCCTACTTTGTGATAGGGGTGTGTGGAAGAGTATTATTGTAATCCACTTTTGGGTGAAGTCCTGTGTATCCCTCGGTTGGTGAAGACTGTTTCCCATTATTGTGATAGTGGAGATTTAACTGTTGTTACAGTCCCGTGATTTTTCTCAATTTGGGTTTTCCACGTAAATTTGTGTGTCTACTTTACTTTATCAATTCTTGAATTATTTACTTGTTTGGTTGGCTGTCCTATTTTTTCAGTAATACGAAAGGAGTTTTTTTGGGAATCGTTTCCTCTGGTTTGTTGTGTTTATATCCTTTCCGCCACAACAATGGCATCAGAGCTATGGTTCTGGAGTTGAGGTGTTACACCAATAAAATGGAAGAGTCATCGGGTGCTGGTACAATGATTAAATTGACTTCATCTAATTATCATATGTGGAAGCCTAGAATTGAAGACTTGTTATATTGCAAAAATTTGTTTGATCCTGTTCTAGGGGATGAAGGTAGGCCAAGTGATATGACTGATAAAAAGTAGGCTGATATGCACAGGAAGACTGTTGGTAATATTTGACAGTGGATTGATCAAAGTGTGTTTCATCACTTTTTTGAAGAAACAAAAGCTAATGAACTTTGGGAGAAAATCTAGAATATGTACTGGAAGAAATCTGGCATCAATAAGACATCTACGCTGAAACAGATTACCAGCTTGAGATACAAAGATGGTGCTAGCATGAATGAGCACTTGAGTTCGTTTCAGGTTTTGTTGAACCAGACAGTGAATGTAAGTTTAAAGTTGGATGATGAGGTGCAGGTTTAAAAGAAGAGAGCAAATGGGTTAGATTGATTTGATCTGAAGTCGAAAAGACCAAAAAGCCTTATTTGATCAGCAAAACCAAAAGTCGCGAAGTTACCATACATCACGCAAGAGTGCTTTAAAAACTCATCCACATTGGAACCCTTAAGGTCGTTACCGTGAAATCCATACCAATTTCATCAACAAATAATTACAAAAAAAAAAAAAGCCTATACAACTTCAATCCATCAGAATGGCTTCCCTATAAAATGCCATTATAATTTATACTATATCCTAACTGATACTCGGATGATACTGCTCTAGGATATTAGTTAGAGGAAGTTAGTTGAACAAAAAAAAAAAGAAAAAAAAATCCGAATTTAAAGAAGTTGAGATATCCATGCCAACCTTTTGTGAAATTTGTGCGGAAAGCCAGGCAAATGGCCAAATGTTCAAGGTTCAGAAATGCAACCATGTTTTCTATAATGTTTGTGTTGCTAAACACATCCAAACGAAGCTCCAAGATAATACACTCCGCATTGTTTGCCTGGCACTGAATTGCAGAGAATCGATTGAGTTTCATGCTTGTAATTCAATTCTGCCCAAAAATGTGATAGAAAAGTGGAAGGATCAACTGCTTCACGAATCGTCGATTCAACAGTTTCAAAGAACGGATTCGAACGAAAGGTCGATCGAGGATCTGTTGCTGAAGAAGCTTGCAGGTGAGAAAGGTTGGAAAAGATGCCCTCGTTGCGGATACTTTGTGGAAAAAACATCCGGCTGCAACCATGTGACTTGCAGGTTAATTAGTACTCTTTGTCTTTGGTGATTGTTTTTTTTTTTTCTTATTAACGATATTGTAATTAGAGATTAATAAAATACCACAAGAAAGCGCCATCAACTCGAGTTTTCAAAATACATTTTGTGTCGTGGACTTCTCTTAATTGACTGTGTTGTGTTTTGCGTTGTTTGAGTTGTGATGCAGGTGTAAGTTCGAGTTTTGCTATACCTGTGGAGGGACTTGCGCAACAATGCTTGCTCAACCACGAGGATATAAGGAGAGAACTTTTCATTATAAGGGATTTTGATCTTGTTAAATATCGTTTGATGTGAAAGAATTCTATTATTTCTTTCTAAATGCTTTGGATCTCAAATTTTTATCTCAGAAAGTCTCATCTGAGAATGGAAATCCACGTTTTGGAACTGGAAGTTAACATATACAAACAAAACCAACGCGATCATCTTATAATACAACGATAACGCGCACTCAAAATATCATCATCTCCTCAACGTTTGCAATTGTCGGCAGGTGGGACTGCTAAGAATTTGCTTAGTTTTGTCTGATAATCTAAGAATCTTCACATGGCTCAAACCATGGATCAAACGAACAATCGAGTTCCGATAATCTGTATCCCGTAAGTGATCAACACATCGGATATCAAGTCCCGCTTCGTTGAGATTGGAGCCTCCGCTTATTGAGATTTTCGCGGACACCTGATCAGTTAAAATGAGTTTTTCAAGTGCAGGCGTATCAATTAGCAGCTTGCAGTGGTGGTTATTGACTTGAGGTGCAAAGATTCTCATGATATCATCTCATCATTATAGAGATAGATCTCAAGATGTTTCAACGAAGCGGAAGAAATCGACCAATGCATCGAGGGAAACCGGTGTTTCCTTTCAAATCTGAAAGATTTGAGCACGGGGCAACCGCGCAAGAGCATACGGAGAGACTTTCCTCCTCGGGACTTAAAGTGAACGGAGTTCAGTTCCAAAACACTGAGTTTGGGAAGACAAACCTCCACCTCCTGGGATGGAACTTTGACGAGGAAAGGCCCTCTTAGTTTTAGAATTTCTAGAGTTTTACTAGTAAAAAGTTGATCTAGTAAGTCAATCGACATTGTGCGAGCTAAATAGGAATTTAGATGCATGTAAAGGTTGCCCTAATCAGGAAGCCTGTGCTACTGCTCCCAAAGGTCCCGACCCAGGTAAGCAAAATTAGTTTCCATTTCCTTTTGTATACTCCTTTTGCTTCACATTGTTTCCTTGAAATAGTTTTTTTGAGTACTTATAGTCTAACATGTCTTCTTGAAGTGTTGTTTTGTTCTTAAATTTGTTGTGGTTATACTGCTTTTGTGGAATGTTGATTCTTTCAGTTAGTTTCACCAAGGTTTGAGTTAATCAATAGTTTTTCTGTTTGATGGGGGGAGATGGAAAAAGCTAGTAATGGAAAAGCTGAAATTAGTGTTTAGCTAATTGCCTTTGACCTTTCGTCTATTAATTATGATTCTGTTGGATGGAAATGTTAAACTGTGACCTAGGATTTTGCTAGGGTCATAAAGGAAATTAATTTCTAATTGTTTCGAGGATGATTTTTTTTTTCAGTTTAATTTATTATTGTGAATGACCAAAACTTGACTGTAGGATTTAGTGCAGAGATCTGTATTCCTATTAGAAAATACAATATCATCAACGATGGGCATTCAAGTACAAGTTAGAAACTAGTTTTATTCAACTTTTGATGGTCCGAATACTAGAACAATTTTGCGATTGTTAGCTTACAGCGTTACTCCTGGCCATTCTTGATTTAGCTTATAATTTTATGTTGTTTGTGGCTTTAGATTTTGGCATAAGTGAGATGTCTCTTGTTTCAAGCCTCTTCTAATTTGATATCTCAGACATTGTTAGATGTTTCTTCATGTTGATGTTCTGATTGGCTAAGCTACCTCAAACTTGGGTAGAGATTACTTAAATCATAATTCTTAATCTAGCAACACACATCCATTTTGCTGATTACTTTTGTGCAA